CCTAAGTGTCCATCATCGGATGAATGGATAAAGAAGATGTGGCACATATATACAATGGAATATTACTCAGCCATAAAAAGAGACGAAATTGAGCTATTTGTAATGAGGTGGATAGACCTAGAGTCTGTCATACAGAGTGAAGTAAGTCAGAAAGAGAGAGACAAATACCATATGCTAACACATATATATGGAATTTAAAAAAAAAAATGTCATGAAAAACCTAGGGGTGAAACAGGAATAAATACACAGACTTACTAGAGAATGGACTTGAGACTATGGGGAGGGGGAAGGGTAAACGGTGACAAAGCGATAAAGAGGCATGGACATATATACACTACCAAACGTAAGGTAGATAGCTAGTGGGAAGCAGCCGCATAGCACAGGGAGATCAGCTCGGTGCTTTGTGACCGCCTGGAGGGGTGGGATAGGGAGGGTGGGAGGGAGGGAGACGCAAGCGGGAAGAGATATGGGAATATATGTATATATATAACTGATTCATTTTGTTGTGAAGCTGAAACTAACATACCATTGTAAAGCAATTATACTCCAATAAAGATGTTAAAAAATAAAATAAAATAAAATAAAATAAAATGAGCAGTTCAGGTTTTATGTTCTGGTAAGGTCAGTTTCCATTTCCTACAGCTGTTTCTTCTTTTATGGGGAGAAAAAGAAAACTAAAATATTTTTCAAAATATTTTTGTCACTCATGTGAGACATGATGCATTTTCTCTGAGAAGGTGCCCACATTTTTCACCAAACTCTGCTGCTGCCTTGTGATTTTTTCTTGGGTTGAACCATTCCACTCTTCTTTGTAGGCTGCTGTGTAGGAAATGAAGTGGTCACACTCTACACAGCATCTCTGATGCTTTATTTATTTCACTTTGTAACACCGCAGGCAGGGTATGTTGATGGCATTACACTGAAAATGTCTTGAATCTTTGCTGTGGGGAGATAGGTTTCAGGTCAACTCCAAAGAAAGAATTGACTATTGTCACAAGAAAGGATTTGAAAGGGAAAAAAAAAGTCCTGTTTATTTCCTGGTCCTCAGAAATTGCAAATCATCAGTGAGAATGCACCAGCAGAGGACACTGATGTGGCCATGAAGAGGTCAGAGTAGGGGGATGAGGCATCCTGCAGCTGCCTGCTCAATAAAGTAACATAGGAGGCATCATCAAGATCTTGCCTAGAAATGAATGACAGGTCTTGGTGGCTAAAAACACAACTTGGAGCCATGGAAAAGCAAATCCTAAGAATTTCCTTTGATTCATGATCAGAGCCCTCAACCAAGAGAGGAGCATCCCAGCTCAGGCAGCACTGAACCAAAGCAGTAAAGGAAATGCAAATGAAGATCCTGAGATCTTAGAATGAGAATCTAAATTAGACCATAGCAGTATCTCTTGGCCACACTAGCAAGGACAATTCCTTGGTGAGCAAGATTTAAGTTTGATATCAGAATCTATGTATGTTTGGTCTATTTATATTTCTGTCTATCTGAGGGAACTGGGAAATAAAGTGAAATTATTCTCACTATAATGATTGTGTTCAGTAATCCTTAATACTTTTCTCAAGTTCCTAGTGTCTCAAGTCAATGACTTTCCAGGTATTGTCATATGTAAGACATATAACTGGGGGGACCCTACTTACATCAGATAAAATTATGGTTCCAAGAAGGAGAATATCCATTATCCTTCACTTATGATTATTTGTCAGTAACAGGAAAAAAAAGAGGTATAATTTTGAAATATCTGAAAGTACTGGCTATTTTAATTGCTAGAATTTTCCAAGTTTAATGTTTGTATGAAAAACAAAAGGTTTTCTGCTTACCTTAATACTTCTCACAGCAATTTAAATCTCATAGAGATTAAGTCACCAAATCTTCAAATGCAACTCATCCCTTACTAGCACAATGGGAATTGTTAACTGCAGTCAGCCAAGTGGCTGTAATTATTGATTAATCACTAGATGTAAGGAAGACTTCTAGGCTCACAAGAAAGACTGTTGTGTTAGTGAAGCAGTTTATTTTTGAAAAATGTCGTTTGCATTAAATATTTAATGTGCTCTCTTACTAAATGGTCGTTTTGCACTTCTTGCGTGTTACCTGGGAACTGAGGATCTAGCACCATCTGCAGGCAAAACTCTGCTAATTTCATCTGGCAGTAGAAACAATTTTTTAAAACTTTACAGCTGAGTTTGAAATTGTTTTCACAATGATGGACAAGACTGTCCTTACAAAAAAAAATATAAATTTAAATGTCATCTAGTTTGTCTGCCCTTTCTTTTATTCTCACAGAACATCCATAGTTACTATTTAAGGAGTAAATAGGAGGTGTTATCAGCTTAACCCTGGCAAACCGCTTAGAATCAGCTTGGCACACATGGAGCTCACAAATTTTAGTCATTATATGCCTGCCACTTTTAGCCTTTTTAGGCTGGTTCTGAATAACTGTTTGCCAGAGTTGATTTAAAATTTGCACTCACTTATTTTATCTTGCTTTTAATGTACATATTGTTTAATCAGTGCTTTTTAAAAGTAAATTCTTTCTTTAATCAGGGAACAAGAAACACCAATATACAGTAATCATTGGGGAAGTAAAATAAAAAAAAATAATAAAATAGGGGAAGTCTACCTGTCATCTTTTCCTCAGCTGGTTCCACATATTCATTTTTAGCAACAAAAAACATATAATAAAACCCATGCACTGGGCATTTATTAGATGACAGTCATTGTGAAAAATTATTTATAATTATCTCATTTTAAATTTAAAATTACCCAGTAATCCTCTGAAGTAAATATTATTTATTCCTATCTTACAAATGAAGGAATTAAATATAGAGGGAGGTAAATCTCTCTCTGCAAGTCCCTATAACTGGGAAGAGGTGGAGTGAAGATTTGGGATTGAATTAAAACCTAGGTCTTCCCAACACTAGAGGGCCAAAGAAAGAATAAGAATATTTGATAACTCAGACATTTCATTTAAATGTTAACATGAATAAACACAGAATAGTCAAGCATATTAAACAAGGTTTAAGACCTGAATTCTTTTATGCAAAATGACTTATAAGGTAAACATTGAAAGTTACACATTTTAAAGTACTTTTGCTTAAAATCTTGAACACTCATTATCTTCAAAATATTTTCCAAATAGATTTTGGTTAAAAAAATGTTCAAGTTAATAGATGTGAAAATATAACCAAGAAGTAAGAAAAAATTAAATTTCTTCATAAATTTATCAAATTACTTGTTTTTCAAAACTCACATTATATTTCTAAAACACTACTTCCATTTGCATGAGTCATTAGCTTTCATAAGGAGTGCTTTTATATAAAATCTGTAAACTGTAAACCATAACATTTCTTCATTATTAGCATATTCAGGTCCATTAAATCTATTATAAATGCATAGTCTACTGATTAATATTTTAATTGTAGCTTGGGATTCTTGGTGTGGATCTAGGAAATATTTATGAAGATTTTAAAGTATTGGTTTAGACATTTCAGAATAAATCCTTCAGCTGTTATAACATTTTAACCATAAAAAGTGTACACTGAAGATCAACTTAGTAAAGCTACTAATAAAATTGCAATGTTGTATACTCAGCAAAGGAGGCAGAAACAGTTTAAAAATTATAGCTATTTCATTTAACTATTTTTGTAGGAATTTCAATTCTAATTATTAACTTAAAAAAATATTCACTTTTATCTAGAGTACTTTTTTCTTTCTAGTATTCATATTTTCACAGCAGCTTAAAAATTTAAGCACACACTAATTGTCAAAGGTTTATTTTGCATTTATATTTCTGTAATTTTGGTAATAAAATAAAACATAGTAAAACATGTTATATTCTCTTAAATGATTCCTTAAAACTACCTTTCAGCAAATATGAAATGATAAAATCTCTTTAATTGTGACATTGAATGCTATTACTTAAAAAGATTCTTATCAAAGTTAGCAATAATTTTATTCTAATAATGTCTTACTTTATCTTATAATTTTAGACATGGCTTAGAAATGCTTAGTCTTTCCACTTAAAAGAACAAAATGAGTTTTGTAAACTTACATGATTTAAAATAGACATGTTCAAATTAAATTGTTTTTTGAAAAAGATAATGAAAAATTTGAGGTCAAATATAAGATAGTAAAGGAAGTTTTATAACTCTAGTTAACGTGTAATTATTTTCATCTCTGAGAGAGATCTTTCAATTATTTGTATATTCCCTGTTGACATTCCCACTTCCTCAACAATCATGTCATTTAAATGTTCTTTTATTAAGCATCCAATTCTCTTTTGATATTTATAGAAGGATTTGATTTTGTGATAGTTTCTCTCTTGCTTCTGCACCAAAACAGATCAAGGTACTGAAAGAACAGATAAATAAAAGACATTTTCACGTAAACACAATGACTAAGTAAGTCTTTTAAAACACCCAATTACATTTTTTCTTCCCCTCTGTTCAGAAATGGTACAGGTCAGAGCAGTAGAAAGAGTAGAGGTGAAAAATAAACAGATGAAACTAAATATGATGTTTTATCAGTGAAAAGTAATAGCTTTATCTCTGGAATACAGTCCAAAGCAATAAGATGCAGAACTTTTATTATGTCTTGTGTTAGCTCACTTTTGTCCCTTTGGCACCACTGTCACTTCCTTCTAAGGCTAGGGTCTACATTTTCCAGAATCCCCTTCTCTGTGTTCTGGGTTAGAGTTCACCAATGAAGAAAACTTTCTAGAGAGTTAGAAGATGGAAATGAATAGGAAGCCATTATTTTTTCAGAGGTGTTTGCAGCTGGATGCTTGGAAACAGGCTGACATCTTCATTCTCAGTCTCTGACCTTCAGCAGCTGCTTTCTGACCTCTACCCTATCCTTCCCCCATCTTTACCCCAGCTCTTCCAACAGTCCTGAGAGTCCCTAATTCTGCATTAACACTTTATATCTGGATACATCAAATGGCTTCTGTTATGCTGACTGATCCCTGATAATAAAAACACCATCACAGTAAGGACTGGGAAAATGTTCAGTTTATTAAATATTGTGAATGTCAGGAATATCAGAAACATCATTTCAATATGTAAATATCAAATCACATTTCAAAGTAAATTTTTGATTATCTGGATTTTTTCTTTGCTTTTCTCTAACAACTAAGACCAGTCTGTATTTATTAGTTTCTTCAGTCTTTAAAATAGCTTTAAAAATGATGTTCCAATAAACTTCAAGTAGTTAACTTCAATGTTTTCTGAATAAAAATTTCCATTCTTATACTTGATATTACTCAATGGTGTTTTTTCTGTAGTAGGAAGAGGGAAATCAAGTTTCAAAGAATATTAAAAAACCAGTTAACTCTGACTCATTATTTGCTACTTCCTTCCCCCTGACATGATACATAAAGCTCTTTCAGGTTCTGTGTTTGCCACTAGAGACTAAGTACTGCTTTCATAAAACTGAGACCTAATCAAGATCATATTTAAATGTCAAAACAGTTGTGACTGAATGGAGCTTGGATACTACATGACTCCATCTTGGCAGAGTTACATTCAAGAAACATCCATGCTCAATTAAACCAAATAAAATTTTTTATATCCTTCAGGAAACGACTTTTGATATTCATAACACATTGCAACATTTCTCTCAAGTCTCTTTGCCCATCCTTGTCCTTCTCCACCTCTCTCTATTCCTCTATCAATGCAACTACCAACGAACTTACATAGTATTTTCTACATACCAGGCACTGTTCTAGGTACTTCACATATATTAACATATTTAATCCTTACAACAACCCCATGATAGGTGTTACTATTAGTTCCATATTACAGGTGAAAAAAATTAAGGGTCAGGGTGGCATACCTTGCCCAAGGTCACAGAGCAAACAAGTGGCAGGGATATGGTAAGTACATTTAGCAGCTAGGCAGCAAGTTATGAAACCTCTCAAAGCTGTTCATCAACCCACCCTCTTTAGCACCATCTTCCCCATTTCCTCTTTATTTGTGTCTTTTGTTTCTAGCCAGTAATTCTTGGTCTGTTTTATTGAAATTCTAGCAATCCATAAGAACTTGGGAGAGCAGGTTATAGTAAAGCAGGACTTGAGGTCCTTGGGCTAGTCTTTTTGTTTTGTTTTCCTTCTCCTTCCCCATGATCTTTTGTTCTTCTTTCCTTAATATGTTTCCAGATGCAGTCTCAGAAGCAACATTAATGGGGATGAGGATGATCTGCTATTAATCACATGAGGAAGGATTCAGGCAGTAAAGAAATGCATAAAAATAGAATATAGAGAAGTAACCTAGTTTAGTCTGTCAAAGTGGAGTTAAAAGCTTTTGAGGTCATAGGGTTTTCTGTGCCATAAAAATCTCAAATAAAATAAAAAAAATTATATTTAGGCTGCCTACAAACCCAGGTAACTCAAACTTTTATATTTATTTTTCTCAACAATAGCTGATCAAATAGTCAATAACTTTTGTCTCCTAGTTTTCAAACCATAGTACTATTATAATCTTGTTTTTTTCAAAATGGGGGACATATCCTTCCAGGATGAACACCAGTGCTAGAAGAAAAACATATATATACATCCACTTTGCCTCTAAGCCAGACTGATTCAGTATCTTGCTTTGGGAAGAAAATTCCTTATCATTTTTCAAAATATAATACTCCAGCATACTTTGATATTCATGACCCTTGGGTTTTTTGAAGTGCTAAATAGCATATAATTGTGTTTTTTTTTAAGATTTTTTTTTGATGTGGACCATTTTTAAAGTCTTTATTGAATTTGTTACAATATTGTTTCTGTTTTATGTTTTGGTTTTGTGGCCACAAGACATGTGGGATCTTAGCTCCCTGACCAGGGATGGAACCTGCATCCCCTTCACTGGAAGGCCAAGTCTTAACCACTGGACCACGAGGGAAGTCCCTATAATTGCTTTTTAAATTAAATCTAATACAGATTAACTTTAAGAAATTTTTGGAGAGTTCTGCTGCAACTGTTTTTGTGTGTGTGTGTGTGTGTGTGATCGTTAGAGTCACCCTGGTATATGTAGGAATTAGGACAGAAAAAATATCTTGGCTATTGATATTTAGAAATTTAAGATCGGAGACCTAAAAAATTCAGTTTCATTTTATAAGTACCGATATGATCACAGAAACTTTTAAAATAGATGTTTACATAGCACTGGCCTTGTAAGTTAAGTGTGGGGCAACTGCAAGAAAGCCTTTCTTCTTCCTTTGTTTTCTTGATTTTCCAAATACAAATAAATCCTAATTGTAATGATATGAAGAGTTTTTTATTGCTTTCCCTGAAATGGATTTTAATAGGGAGTAAATGAAGAGAGAACTACTATCAGGGAAAAGAATGAGGATATTCAAGGCTTCAGTGGCATATGATCCACTGAAAATGTTTAGAAACACGCACCCACCAAAATCAATGAAGTCGTGATTCATTGATATAAAAGTGGGGAATTTTTTTAAAGGGTGAAGGTGGTCTTTTTACCTAGTATTTGACCAAATATAAATTATTAGTGTCTTAAATCCATGTTGTGAGGTATTTGCTTTCTTTCAGCTCTCATGCCATGATATATTGCATTATGTTTGATGGTTGTTATCTACACACTGAAATTCCTTAAGTGCACATCAAAATTTTGAATAATAAGATAACTCTATAATGACACAAGAATGATATTACTTTTAGTTTTGGGGGCAAATAGAAAAATCTTGTATGTTTTCTATTTTGGAAGTAAAAGAAAATAAAACATTAACAGATAGGTAAAAATCACTAAGTAGAATATCTGAGTAGATGGCATATGTCGACATCTAACATATACTTTGTTTAAAATGTAAAATACCTGTATTTTCTTTTCACGTTTGACTCCAGTATATCCAGTGCAGCAAGAACATATGTTGGGGAGTACGCATCTGCCTCCATAAAGACACTTTTGATAGCAGATTGCTGCAATACACAAGTTTTTACAGTTACCACCTTTTGACACAAATGCTTGTGACATATTCTATTCCAATGGTCTGAAGCCATTCAGCAACTTGACTATAAAAATAGTCATAAGAGTCTATGAATGACCAATTGCAGTCCTGTATTTCTGCAGCCAGCTTGCAAACACACACATACATACACATATCAAAAGACAAAACACCCCCAAACTCAACACAACAGTTTCAGTATTTTATAAAGATATTATTAAAGCAAACAAAATTTTCATTGGCTACATTTTAAAGTATTTAAAATACATCTTTTTGTTTTCTATAGAGAGAAGATTCAAATCAGTAATATACGATAGCATTCATAATTTGCTTTTTAATAAAAATTTTTTAGCAAAAATTTAAAAGGGACAATTCAGTACTGACCAATGTATGGAAAAACAGACAATTTTATATACTATCAATGGAAGTTTAATGTGAAACAACTCTATTGGAAGCTTCCTAAAGATCTTCACACTACCTGTACTAGAAATTTCTTCTTTAAAATCTCTCCCTATGCAATTTTTAAATACCTGTATCTATTTATCTTTTGTCTTTTCTTTCTTTCTTTCTCTTTCTTTCTTTCTTTCTTTCTTTCTTTCTTTCTTTCTTTCTTTCTTTCCTTTCTTTCTTTCTTTCTTTCTATCTACCCACCTACAGAGCAAAATGCTTATAATAGTAACAATTTCTAAATAACAGAAATGTTCAATATGAGAGGAAAGGTCAAGTGAATTATAGTATTTATATTATGGAATTTAATATATCATTTAAAATTACATCTTTAAGGACATGGAAATGCTTTTAAGTAATATTGACTAAAAATAGGAATATAAAATTATATACAATACAGTTATTTTTCATGGGAGAGGAATCTGTTTCAAGAGCTCATATTGGAAGCTTGCATAATTCAAGAATAATATTCCCTTTAATATAAATGCAACATTGAAAGGTATGTTTTCATCAGAGCTATTGTGTATGGCTGAGCAGGTTATGTAATGCACAAGGTTCCACAGCTAAGGAAGCACTGTTCATATCACAGACATCATAGATTCAAATATTTATTACAACAATTTTCCAGAAGATGGCAGTAAGACATCTTATATAAATAACATCATCAATATTTAGACTGTTTGCAGACAGATGGAAGTAAAGCATTTCGAGGAAGGGGACTTCAAAAAATTCACATAAAGGTGCAAGGTGCAAACACAAGGTGCAAAAACAGGGTGCACATCTTCAGGCTGTGCTCAGAGTAACTTAATCCACAATTACTGCAGCATATTTCCACATTAATGTGCTTTTAGCATCTTATCATTCTCTCGCATGTTCCATACAAACTCTCTTCAGAATGAGTAGCCCAAACTGAGGTTGCTAGTTCTTTTTTCTAGCATTTTATCCCATCTAACTTTCAATGAAAGTTATTTATTTTTGAGCACATAATTCTTATGTAAGTACTAGTACTTAATGAATTCTTTGAAAATATTTTCCTAGGATGAGAAATGTGTAAATTATAATAGCAATTACTAGTAAAATAAAGTCTAAGAGTCATAAAAATTATATGCAGAATCTCTGATACATGAAAAGCAGAGCAGGTATTTCTAGTAAAAAGGCACAGTCATTTTACAATTGTGCTATTTCAGTTTACAGTACACTTGGATCACCAGTTTTGATATTATGTAGTTATTGAGCATTTGAAAATATTTTGAGGAGATTTTCCATTTTTCCCATTGAGTTATTAATCTTTGTTAATATTTTAACATGTTATTTCAAGTTTTCATAAATTTCATAATTGCATTAAATTTGATTTTCCTTTATACCCTGTGATCCCATCTATATAAAAATTTATGACTAAAACTGAATGGAAATAACTAAAATGCTAAAATCAAGGCAGAAACTAGTTCTGGGTGGTGGAATTTGGAGTGATTAATTTTTAAAAACTTTTTCATATTTTCTATAATTTCCATGATAGATATATACCTACCTTATAATATGGAAAAACATTTAAACTTATATTAAAACCTTCTTTATCCAGTTCCCCCTTGGATGAAAATAGTCAAAAGATACAAACTTCTAGTTATAAGTTAAATAAGTACTAGGGATGTAACATACAACACAATAAATATAATTAACACTGCTATACATTATATATGCAAGTTTTAAGACAGTAAAAGTTCTCATCACAAGGAAAAACACATTTTTTTCTGTTTCTTTAATGTTGTAGCTATATGAGGTGATGGATATTCACTAAACTTACTGTGGTAATTATTTCATGATTTATGTAAGTCAAATCATTATGCTGTATACCTTAAACTTATACAGTGCAGAATGTCAATTATATTGCAATAAAACTGGAGGAAAAAGAAAGATCTTTTAAAATAAAAAAAGAAAACCTTCTTCAGTCCACCTAAGAGAACTTCACTGGCAACCCACAGATCGTAATTTGGAGTTATCTATGTCACACAAAATATTAATATACTATACCATACTTTCTTTTTTAAAATGGGTATAGAAATGGAGATATCCTTTTATTTCTAAAACTCTCTTTTTAATGGATCAGCATGCTGAGATTTATTTTACCCTGTATATTTCTCCTAAAGCTATACTTTGTTTGATAATTATAATAGGTTCAAATTCAAAACATAGATTAGAAAGCAAATTCTGTAGCCTTATGTATTTGACGCTGTGCTCCTTCCCATGTCGTAGGACAATGGCATATGATAGGAGCAATACACTCACCACCATTTTTACATTTCTGAAAGCAGATAGCTGCAAGTAGAGAAATAAACAAGTTAATAATTTACTAGTCAAATCCTATCATAAACCATAAAAATTTTCATTAAAAAAAGAGAAACAGTTAAAAATCAATGATTAAAGGATCTTTTCCCTTAAAGCTTTTCCCCAATTGTTAGACATTTATGTTGCTTCTCATTTTACACTTTGGCCAATACATTATAATAGCTGCTAACTTTAAATAATTATAAAAAGAAAAAAATGAAACATTTGAATGAGGAGAGCTGCCATCATCTTAAAAACTAGCAAGACTTGAAAGCAGTGGTACCCCATCTCAGGAGGTTTTGAATTGGTCTGAGATGGGACCAAGGAATCAGTAATTTTTTAAAAACCTTCCCCTGACTCCTACTTAAAACTGAGAGACCAGGACTTAAAGACTTGTCATTTATCCTGGCAACTGTAGTGAACAGACCGGAAAATACAGGATATCCTCTACCTCCACTAACCTGAAAGAATGAGTTCAGAGGACTTGGCATTTTACTCTTTCTATTTCGAAAAGATATATTCTAAAGTAGGAACAAATAAAAAAAATAAAAACAGGGAAATAGAAAACAAGGAAAATGCTCTTTGTCTGAAATTCTGCTTTATGTTCCCATGTAGACTTCAGCATTTTAAGAGTATTTCTCTTACGTGTGTTGCATTGTTTCCCTGTCCAGCCAGAAGGACAACAGCAAAGACTTGGTCCCACACACTTTCCTCCATTAATGCATATGGGATCACAGATACCTTAAGGTAAAGGGATGAAATATCAGTTCTTAAATATCAATAATTTTGCTATTTAATATGTTTGCTTTACATGTAGTTGGCAAACACATTTAGTAGTGTCTTACTTTTTTGGCATCTCCTACCAGTGTATCCTTGAGGATAGGCACACACGTTATTTCTCATGCAGTGACCACCATTCTTACAGGGAGGGTGACAAGATAGCTAAAGGAACACATGACAGCAATCTGTGAATATCACATATTCAATTATTATATATTACATATTGCATCATGTGCTTATATCTATGGGGACATAAGGCAGAGAAATGTGTTATTAAAATAAAAGATCACCACTGCAAGTCATTAAAACCGTCCTTTCTAAGTCATAAAATACAATGCTTATAGTTGTAAGTTGCTAGTGGGTTAGCACAATTTGAAATGTATTGGTGAATTATGAAATGTGTTGTTCATAACCAGTGGAGCCTTCAGTATTAGAGTGCATATAGAGTGAAATGACCTGGGAAAAACCAAGAAAATAAGTCAAAACCGAGCTCAAAATAAGAATATCTGTTCCTGTGGAAATTAGAAAAACTCAACATTGGTCACATGATGTTTAGAAAAAACTTTGAAGTTAACTTTTGGATACCTACTGAGGTCACGAAGGCAGAGCTTTATATGTGACTTATTCCTGTGAATGCCTGGCGAAAAATCTTTTTAACAATAAATCTTTGGCTTTGTCAGGAATATTTATTGGATAATCCTGAATACGCTGTACTAGTATCTTCTATGTATATGATTCTGTTCCATGGAGTTCAGAAGTTAATGTTTATAATCTTTTATGAGAGGATTTTTATTGCTTCATATTTCTTACTGATATGACAATTAAATGCAGTTATTTAAAAAACAATAATACATAGGCAAACCTGCCTATAAATTTTTTAATTTAATTTTCCTTAAATGATGATTAAGTGGATTTTAGTTTGTGTTTTAGAAGTGAATGTCAAACTAACTGGTTTTGGTAATAGGGCCTTGGTAGACAGACTCCCCATTTGAATTGAATTAGATCCATCTTTAATAGCTGCTTTTTAAATTTCCAAACACTAAGAAAACTTCAACTGATTTCAAATAGATTTATAAGTGAAAATAATGAAGTACTTATGTATAAAAACAATATTAACTGAATGTTTCAGCAAATGGATAATTTCCACTATTTTAGACTGAGCCTTTTCTGGTTAATGATTGAGTTTACTTTCTCTGGCATTTTTATTGGTACTTTTTATTATGGAGAAATGCTCTTACATTTTCTGCTTCCTAATCTTTATACAATTTAAGGTTATTTCTATTTATTAAGAAAGGTGTACTCTTTCCATTACAAAAACACCATAGGAAATACCTGTGGTTAGAAATTTAAAGCTTGAAAAGAATAAAAGACCCTTTTATAATGGATAGCCTTGTTATAATCAATACTCATCTACTCTACAAAACTTGAGTGTAGAGATAAATACTACATGTATACAGAAAAGTACATATAATTAAAGTAATATAGAGAAATGACATAAACTTGGGCTCGGTCATGCCCACCCCAATCACATTTTAAGAAAAGGAGGTTTAGGAGAAAACCCACTTTCATGTATTACATATTCATGAGATTCTCCAGGCCTCAGATGGATCTTCCACCAAACTCCAAAATGAGCCAAGTAATCTGGCCTCACTTTCTGTATGGAATGGGCTCATGGCATTTAAGGGATGAAGGAAACTGGAAGATATATTTAATCATCTCTCCAGCCACACATTTTAAGTCTTGCTTATTAATAGAGTAGTTTCACCTTTCATGATGTTTCCAGCTCAGTGTCTTTCTTCCTCTTTTGAAATCCTATAGAATACACAGAATATACTCCTCATATTACTTTTAACCATATTCTGCCTAATTTTATTCAATGGCTTTCCATGTGTATACCATCTTCCCTTCCCTTCATTCCCTCAAAAGGGGATGTGATCTAATAAAAATAAAGATCATGTTCTCATTTCTTCTGCACTTTCTGTAACATGTCTTATGACAATAATACCATTACTTAATTGTAGCTAGCCATGTGCTGACTGTACTTGCAGGTGGTCCACTGTATGTGTCATTTGCACTTGACAGCAACTGTCTAGTTCAAACTTGAAAGTAAAGAAGTCTGAGGCCTGGAGACTATAAGTCATTTAACACTTCCTGAGGTAACTGAAATGCATGAGGGTTTTTTTCTGTTTTATTTGCTAATAATAAGGCATTTTATACTATAAACATGTAAGAATTGAAGGTTATTATCATTATTCCTACAGAAGAAAGAAAAAATGAAGTTCCTCTAGGTAACTGAGAACAAAGGAATACTCCAACAGCTTTGTTGCTTAAGTTGGTCTCAAATCAAAACACAAACAAAACAAAACAATAACAACGGAACAATATCAACAACAAAAAGTAGCTTCTAAGCCAGAAATTTGATTTGTATCAAAGAAAACAATGCTGATGATTGTGAAAAGAAGTAAACACTCCTTTCAAAATTAAAGTGATGTCTAACTTGTTTTATTCTCAAGAGGTGGAGGAATTACAGAGAAACCTAGTTTATACAAATAAGCAAATATGCCAAAATTAGTAATTTAAAGTGCTAAATACCCTCTGTGAGCTGAAAAGAACCCAAACCACAGTGTTATTCACACCATTATTTTATATCTAGCTGCTTATTGCCAGGAAAGTCAGTTAGCCCTGTAAGGCTCTGCTTTCTCTTCTGTATAATGGGAAAAATAATACCCAGTATATGGGGTCCTTGTGGATTATATGACATAATTGATACAAAATTTTTTCCAAAGGCCCTAGAACACAGTAGGTACTTAATACATATATTTATAATGTATTATATAGTTATAATGCTATTTAATATTAACTTTATGAAAAAAATTAAGAAACATCAATATTATTTTTTTTGAAATGTGAAGAGAATATGCACAAATAATAAATAAAATGAATAGAAATTAGTGAACTAAATAGAGTAAACAAAAATTAATCAATAGAAGAGCATATCTTCTTAAGTACTTAAACGTGAACTGGATAGTTTTCTTTTCTTTGTAAGTTTTGAAGAGTTTTCATACTACCTCTGCATTTGATACCATCTGCATAATGTCCAAAGGGGCAGCATCCACACTGGAAGTGACCATCTTTGATTGGCACACAGGAAACACCAAGAAAGCAAGGGGATTCAGCACAACTTAATATTTTGGTCAATCCAGGCTTTTCTGGCAAAATAGTGATGGCTCTAGTAAGTGATGATGCAAACCCATCCTAATACTGTGTGTAACCTTGGGGAGACCTGTTAGTTTGAGAATTATATCCTCCTGCCTCTGTTTGGATGGGGCCCTGGATAACATCCTTTACTTCGCCATGGAAACTATTCAGGTTAATGCTTAAAGAACTACGGTTGTTTGTAGGAACTTCCAACTCCTCCAGACTGAGGTTTGTATTGGGGGTATGATCCACATGTTCAAAATCTGATATCTGATGGGAAATAGCCTTCTTTGAATGATTCATTCGAGTTGTGACTGATTTTAATGAGAATTGTGAGATGTCGATTGTATCCAAGAACTTTTTCATAGTTGCAGAACTGTGGATAGAGCTTGCATCAATTAGTGAATGTTCTGTTGATAGTTGTTGCAAATTTATGTCTAAACAACCAAAAAAGAAAAAGAAATGTTAGTCAATAACATCTGTTAATGCTCTGCTCTACCCACAGTATTTAACATTAGGTAATTCATTCCTTCATTTAATGTCTGTTACTTATATAAACACTATACTAAGATTCATGCAGCAATAAGAAGTTATCACATGGTTCCTGCCTTCTAGGAACTTAAATAATCTATTTGGATATACAAGATAACACAGAATATTAAGCAGTATATTGACTACGTAAAATCTTAATATTTCTGCATAAAAAGACAACATAGATGAGGCAAGCCATAGAGATAAAAAAGATAATTTCAAGTACACATTATGTAAAGGATCAGTGGCCAGAATATGTAAAGTACTCTTACAAATCAACAAAAAGTCAAAGAAAAGTTACAGATAATTAACAGAAAGGCAAATTTCAATGATTATTTGAAAAAAACAATTAAATAGATAACCCTTGGCAAGTTGTATCTGGAAAAAAAACAATGGAAAGATATAACTAAACTACTTTGAAGATGAGAAAACAGAAAAAAGTATATATATGAAAAGAATTTTAAATTATATAAGAATACTACATATAATTTTAAACTAAGAATTTGAAATCTCAATGAGATAAATGATTTTTTTGCAAAATATAAATGATTAAGTTGACTGAAGAAGAGATAGAGTAGATGATAGAAAAATTACTTTGAAAGAAATAGAAAAATAATCTAAAATAACCTCCTAAAATGATGCCAGGACAGCTGATCTAATGGAAAAAAATCAACCAAATTTCAAGGAAAGAATATTTTACAGAACTGTTGCAACACGCACAAAGAGATGAAACATAAACATTTTGTCAGAGTGGCATAATCTTATAGCCAATATTATTTATGAAAATACATAAAAATTTAAAATGAAATACTAGTATTTCATTTAAATCAGATCAAGTGCAGCAGTGTAGTTATATATTATCACATCAGGATAAAATAGACTTGTATCTCAACTAACATAATTATATCAAGATATTAGTGAAGAAAATAATATAAAATAATGTTAAAAAGTAATTTGATACATCAATGTTTTTTGTTAAAAACATTCTGAGAAAGTTAATCCATGGAAACATTAACAGAAATTGTAGCAAGTAATAATTGATCTGAAAAAGCATTTGATAAACTGTAAAACCCACTCATGACTTAAAACTAAAGAGAATTCTGAGAAAGCAATCAGTGAAAGGAAAATTCTAGCAGAAACCTACAGTTATATTCACTGGTGAAACATGAGAAGAATTCCCATTGAAACCATTAAGAAACAAAGCTATTCCAATCCCTACACACTTTGAACTGGAGGTCCCAGCCACTACAATCACAGCCTAAGTTTGAGAACTGGGACAGGTCCATGAGATTGCTCAGGTTCAAGTCTTGCCTCTGTAATTTACAAACTCTGTAAATCTGAACAGATTGCTTAACCCATAGACGCCTCTGTTTACTCATCTGTAAAATGGAAATAAGAAGAGTTACTATATATAGCTATCTATTATGAGGATCGAATGAAATAATACATTAAAAATATTTTCCTAATGCTGGCACATTATAAATACAGACAATCTTAGTTACTATAAGAAAGTAAATGAGAGACAAACTCAGTATTTGCAAAAAATATTATGTTTTACCTATAAAATTAAGAAGAGAATCAACTATAAAAAATAGTGTAAATAAGAGTATTTAGTAAGGCAACCAGATGCATGAATAACATTACAATCAAGATAGCTTTCCTATATTGCAGTAATAGACAGCACCTTGCAAAATGAACAAATGCAATGATATCTTGCAAGATAAACAGCTGATATTACAGTATGCAAAGGCATAAAGAAAGGTAATGAGAAACGTGGAAGACTGTTATGAAGACAGTAATAGAGTATTATTGAATAAAACAAAGAGTTATAAAGAAAACACTATGAAGAAGAAAAGGCCTTATGAAATAATGAGCCTCTCATATGTTTAGAGTTTGAGTAGATGATGAATGACCAGGGATTTATAGAATGTAAGTATGAAATGGTCACTTCCAACCATAAGCTTCTCTGAAATCACCTTAATTAATGATATAATTTGTTCATTACACAACATGAATCACTTTTCTAGAATATAAGCCAGAGGATTCAAAAGATTAGCAAGAAAAAGAATAATTTGTAAACTGCATTATGTAATCTTAGGTGAACTTTTTGAAAATAAAAATTCCTGACGAGTAAATACGGTAATCTTCTGGAAAACAAATGAGAGGTATTACTTGTCATTAGAGTTTAACTAAGACCATTACTTACTAGAGGCATTTCCATTTGTTGGCTTAACATTCCTCTCCCTCTGATTGGCATATATATATATATATTTTTTTTTTTTTTTTTTTTTGCGGTACGCGGGCCTCTCACTGTTGTGGCCTCTCGCATTGCGGAGCACAGGCTCCAGACGTGCAGGCTCAGTGGCCATGGCTCACGGGCCTAGCCGCTCCACAGAATGTGGGATCTTCCCGGACCGGGGCACGAACCCTGTCCCCTGCATCAGCAGGCGGACTCTCAACCACTGCACCACCAGGGAAGCCCCTGATGGTCATTTTTACCATCCTCTTCCTTAGTTACACTGTTGTCAGACCTTGTGAGAACCACAGTATGTGTAGTAAATTTATTTAAAAACTGTTTCAACTGTAAATGTATACATGAAAAACAGATCAGAATTAAACTGTTATAAAACTAAAGCACTGTGAATAAGAACATAAAATAAAAATGTCACTTGGATTGAACTCCTTGCAAATTAGATCAGAGAACTAGCTTAAATGTCACATCTTCAACAGATGCTTCTGTTAGGGACTGAATTGTGTTCCCCAAAATTTCTCTGTTGAAGCCCTAACCCTAAATGTGACTGTATTTGGAGATACTTTAAAGGAGGTTATTAAGGTTAAATGAAGTCATGAGAGTGGGGCACTAATTCTATAGGAATGACGTCTGTCCTTATAAGAGGAGAAAGCACATGAAGAGTGTACATGTGAGGGTACAGTGAGAGAGCAGCCATCTGCAAACCAAGGAGAGAGGCCAGAAACCAATGTTGCTGGCAACTTAATCTCAAGCTTCCAGTTTCCAGAACTGTGACAGAACCAGTTTCTGCTGTTTAAGTGACCCAGTCTGTGGTGTTCTGTTACGGCAGCCTGAGCTAACTAATGGATGTTCCTAGAGTCACACTCACCCACTTAATCAGTGTCACCCATCTGTGTTCATTCACAGAACTTTGTCCTTCACACTTATGTGTCTCTTTACTACACTAGTTAGGAACTTCAAGAATAAGAACTGCACTTTATTTTATAGTCATTGACTCTGGTGCCTGCCATAAAACCAAGTAACCAACAATAAAAAATTACTTTAACAAGCATTTTCCTAAAATACACAAATGTCTCTGATAGGGTTAAGAAACTTACTAGTCACTCACGTGTAATGGAATTTGGTTCAATGTGCTTTTGTCTTAAATTCCACTTGATAAAGGTCTTATTGAGAAAATGGGCCACTGTTTGGAAAAGACGGATGTTAGATCACTTTAGTGCGCAGAGTGGAAGGTTCAGTATTTGGGACTGGATATTGATGTGAGTAGCTGAACTAGTAGGGAATTTCTCTCACCATCCTGCAGTGTGCTCTTCAAATCTGTATCTCCCATGCTAGACAGGTCCACTGCAATTTGAAGCACAAGGTGATATCATGTAATTAATATGTATTTTTCATCAAAATACGCCTTGTTTGCTTAGTAATACCAAAGATACTGACTTTTTATTTATTTATTTATTTATTTATTTATTTATTTATCTGTGCCAGGTCTTTGTTGCGGCATGCGGGATCTTCATTGCGGCATGCGGGATCTTTTTAGTTGCAGCATGTGGGATATTTATTGTGGCATGCATGCAGGATCCCTGACCAGGGATCGAATCCAGGCCCCCTGCATTGGGAGCGCTTAGTCTTAGCCACTGGACTGCCAGGAAGGTCCCCAAAGATACTGACTTTTTATAATTTACTTTTCTTTGACATTAACTTTTTATAATTTACTTTTGTCTTTGTAAGTTTTTAAAAGGTTGATATCCACCAATGTTTTTCCTCTTTTCTCTAATTCTAAGTGCTCTCCCTGGGAAGTTTCACCCCTGACTGGTGACCCTAAGAATTATATCTTTAACGTTATCCCCCTTCCTGAGCTCCACTTGGCTATTCCATAGTCACCTCAGTGTCTGTGTTTCCAAACTGAGTTCATTATCTTTCCTCTCCGAAACTATTTCTTCTTCCTCATATTTCATATGTGTCTTAGTCAGCTCGAGCTGCCATTACAAAATATCAGAGTAGGTGGTTTAAACAACAGGAATTTATTTTCTAACCATTTTGGAGGGTGGGAAGTCCAAGATCAAGGTGCAGGCCCATTTGGTCCCTGGTGAGAGAGCTTTCTTCCTGCGTCCCAGACAGCTGCATTTTCCTTGTGTCCTCACCTGGCAGAGAGAGAAAGAGATTAAGTTCTCTGGTGTCTCCTCTTAGAAGGACACTAACCCTGTTGGATCAGAGCTTCTCCCTTATGACCTCATTTACCATTAACTACTTCCTTACTCCAAATACAGCCATATTGGGGTTTAAGATTCAATGTATGAATTTTGGGAGGACATGATTCAGTCCTTAGCAATATGAATGTCAATTCTACCCACTCAATTTGCCTAAACCAAGCACTGTAACTCTCTCCCTCACCGTGCTAATCCCAATCGCTGACCAAGTACTGTCAACTTGCTTTCTTTTTTTTGAAGTATAGTTAATTTACAGTATTGTGTTAGTTTCAAGTGTATAGCATAGTGATTCAGTATTTTTGCAGATTATACTCCATTATAGATTATTAAAAGAAAATCGGTATGATTCCCTGTGTCACACAGTATACCTTGTTCCTTGTCTGTTTTACATATAGTAGTTTGTATCTATAATCCCATACCCCACATTTGTCCCTCCCAACTTCCCTCTCCCCTATGGTAACCACAAGTTTGTTTTTTACGTCTGTGAGTCTGCGGAAACAGACTCAACTTTCTTCTTTAGTGTCTTTTTCATCCTCATTTTAGGTCGGGATATCTTCATGCCTTTCCTATGTTTGTAATATTGTCTTAACTCTTCTTCCCACCTTCACACTTGTACAGTTCCTTACCTGCAAGTGGTCCATCCTCTACACTGCTCTTAAGTAGACTTTCTCAGATGTAAACCTTATCATGTTTCTCATAGTTTGTCAGTGATCTGTCCACTGGATACCCCTGCTACTCTTGTAGCAGTCCCCTTACCTTCTCTATTCCAAGCACACTGAATCCTTCTCAGTGCCCAAGGTGATGTTACATGCCTCTGTACCTTTGCTCACGCTGTTTCTTCTGCCTAGAATGTCTCTCTCTTTCTTGATCAGATACATCAGATTCAGCTGTAGTGATACTTCCTTTTAAAAACTTTTCCTTGTCCCTCAAGGTACTATTCCTACTATTCTCTCTAGACACTTCTATCGAAAGACACAGAACATCATATTGAACTATGTGATTACATGTCATATTTCCTGCTACTATACTCAAAGCTATTAGGTCAGAGGACATATCTTATATATTTCTGCATCCTCTGCATCTAGCTTAGTGCATGACCCTGAATGAATTCATGAGTACAAGAGAGAATGGAACTAAATGACCTGAATTAATTAAATGCAGCAAAAACAGAAACAAAAACATTTCATGCCAGAAAATAGGGACTTTTACCATGACATATTTTTCCATCACCGTAAAATGCTTTTGGACATGAACACAATGATAAGAACCAAAGGTATTGAGGCACTCTGCTCCTGAAAAGCAAGGCCTGGATTCACACTCATCAACATCTTCCTGGCAGTTTTTGCCTAAATAAAATATAGATTGAGAATTCAAATTATTTAATTTGAAAAACATTACATGTCAAATCAAAGATTCATTTCTTTTACTCTTTATGTATGTCCTGGTAACTCCCCCAAAGCTGTCATATATAAAGAGGAGAGAAGTGTACTGTTTTAAAAATTTACTATATAATTAAACATAAGGTTATTAATTAGATTCTATTTAACATTAAGCAAGACCCTTCAAGTTTAAAAGCTTTTCCCTATAAATAAGACTTAAGAAGGCCATTAATATTTTAAGGCAAAAATTATCATATTATAGCAGTAATTTGTACTTTGTTAAAAAACTCAGTGATTCTTTAAGAAGTTATTAGAATGGTTGCCTGCTTAGCTTAAGGACAACAATTCAGTCCAGTTATTGAATTGGCTGTAAAAATCCATAAAAATTTTACAGTGTGCTAGGAAGGTCAGTCTTCAGTAAAAAGTTTTGAGATGAGGTGTTGCTCTTTGAAATGTTTAACAACTTATTTGAATGAATATACTGACAGTCATTAATGATGGTAACCCCTATTATAGTAAAATCCATGAAGAAATCAACATCTGAATTCTTTCAAAGGTAGTCTGTAGCAAAATAGCCCCAAATAATGAAAATTTTTATTTTAGATATGCTGAAGAAAATTAGAAGACTTAAATGTCCTGCCTAGTTCTATTATTATGTTAAAATAGATGTCTTCAAGGAAAATATCATCTCAGTAACTCTACATTTACTTATTTAATATTTATATCTATTTTAATTAAAGAAAATATTGGTATGAGTTTTTTAAAAGCCTTGGGAAGTTAAAATTGTCAATCATATACTTATTTGGGGTTTCTGGAATCAGACATTTTGGAATAATTAATGAGTTAACAAATATTCTAACATTTCATTGATTTCAACTCTTATGATATTTTTAAGTTAATGAATTATCATTAAATTTTTAAATGATAATTTTTATATTTCCCATGGCAAATTTCTTTATTATTCTATACTATATTTAAATAGTAATACATTTAAATATATTTCTACCTACCAAATATAGATAGAAATGTTTAGGAACCTGCAAAATACAATATAGACACAGAATATTGCCAAACTATAGAAATGAGCAAAAATTTAAGAGTATATGTAAGCAGGGCTTCCCTGGTGGCACAGTGGTTAAGAATCCGCCTGCCAGTGCAGGGGACACAGGTTCGAGCCCTGGTCCGGGAAGATCCCTCATGCCGCGAAGCAACGAAGGCCATGCGCCACAACTACTGAGCCTGTGCCCTAGAGCCCGCGAGCCACCACTACTGAGTCTGCGTGCCACAACTACTGAAGCCCACTCGCCTAGAGCCCGTACTCTGCAACAAGAGAAGCCACCACAACGAGAAGCCTGCGTACCGCAATGAAGAGTAGTCCCCACTCACGGCAACTAGAGAAAGCCCATGCACAGCAACAAAGACCCAACACAGACAAAAATAAATAGATAAAATAAGTCAATTTATTTTAAAAAAAGTTATGGAGCTGTTGATGGCCACGTTTTTCACTATGTGGAGAAAGCTAATATCTAGTGAAAGGGAAAAATGAAGCCCACAAACAGAGAAAAGCAGAACTGTGACAGACAGATACACACACATATGCACACACACACACAAATGCAGACAAACTGAGTCTTCGTGGTGTTCAAGTCCCAAGTTTAAGCTTTTTTTCCTGAGAATTCAGCAGTCATACTCTATCCTGATTCTGTGAAAAATGCATTATCCTCATAATAAATATCATTTTTGCTCAAGCTAGTTCAATTGAATCTATGTAACTTAAACTAAATAAATTCTAACCAGTTCACCCTATATAATAACTCAATGGCATATCATATTTAAACTTTGAGTACTATTTTTCAGTATTGAAATGCATTGTTGTCTAAAGAAGAAAAGCAAGGATAATGTTCTGGGTACTGATAACTACACAGAAAACTAAAAAGATGTATCTTATTACCAAAATTTAGATTCAGATTTTTAAAAAATTTATGACTGTGTAATTGTTTCAGTGGCTCAGAAATAGTAAGTGTGCTGATGCTTCAATATTGTAGGTCAGCAGGAAAAAGAATGGAAGGCAAGAACACACTAGTCTGTGGCTAGTAGAAACTATGTTGCTGAAAGAGTGAGTCCCAGAACAAATCTCCATATTTAAGGGAGTGTATACAGTCTGGTCTAGCAGATATATCAGTGGTTCCCTTCTAGCAGAGGGGAATGACAGCAATGTCTCAGGGTAGTCATGATGTCGACACTTAGATGGATACAGGGTCTCTTGGTTTTGTGTGTAGAAACAAGACTCCAGGCAATGACTGGGAATTTAGGGGTTATTTCCACCCCTCTGTGTGGAGAGCCTACCCCAAATGAGGAATAAACAGGGTTCTATTTCTTTTCCATTCATCAATATTTTGGGAATATCTATAGGTACTGAGGATATTCTGATGAAAAGAGATCACAGAGAAAAAGACAAACAATAAAACATTTTCTTATTGCTATAACCAAGATTCAAATAAGGTGTAATGAGAGAGAAAGAAGCCACTAAGTCTAACCAGCACAGTCACGAAGGCTTTGAAAAAGAAGACAGCACTTCTCTTGAAAGTAAAAAAGGAGACTGCCATTTGGACACTGGGAGCAGAAACAGAGTGAGTGCGAGTTAGCAAGGTTGGAGTGAACACCATGTGAAAAGACAGCGATGCATGAAATAGCATGGGATTTTCCTAGAGCACATGCAGGAAGTTCAAGCCTCCAAAAACAGACAAGAGCTGGATCATGAAGGGCCATTTGTTTCTAGGATAACAACTTGGATTTAATCCTATAAGTAAGTTGTTTAAAAATTGGATTCTGTAAAGTCCTAGCAGCTTTGGGGGAGAGTGAAGGAAATGATTGGGTGGCTGGCTCTCTGGCTAAAAACTTGTCTAAAATTATTACTGCAAAAGTAGAAAAGAACATACATAATGTGCTACTATTCATATAAAAAAAGAAGGAATTTACCTTCTCCTTTGTGCAAAAGAAACACAGTAAGGAAAAACTAGAAAATAATGAGAGTGGATACCTTCAGGGGATGGATGGGAACAGGATGGAAAGAAGGGGTAGTGGGAAGAGGGAGGTAGGGATAAGATAGTGACATTTCTCTGTGTTGTATACCTGTTGTATGGCATCAAGTGTTAGAACCATGATAATATTTCACATACCTTCCAAATAAGTATATAACTAAAATCAACCAGAGTGTGAAGGAAATTCAAAATGGAATATAAATATTAAAAAATAAACCTAATTGTATTACAAATAAAATACATAAACATTCTAAACGGGGTGAGAAAGAAAATAGTTAATCTATGTAAGATTGTTTTGGCTAGTGAATATATTTTCTTCCTTTCTATAGTTCTGTATAGTGTTAATGAATTCCAGAGTGTACTCTTTATTGATAAGCTATTTGGAGGAGGGAAGTAGTATGAGAAAAAATACCACAGGAAAATATATATCTGAAAGTAAGAATAAAATGTACTTTCCAAGAAAATATAAACCTATAAAATTCTCTCTTGTCAAATTGCTTAATTATAGTGTGATGTCATATGGTTTATTCTGCCAAGAACAATGTAATGACAACTCTCTTGAGCGACTTTGAAGTGAATGAAATAATACATATATATTACATTTTCTATTATGTGTCTTATTTCATTGGGGTTAGAATATTTCATGGCTCATTTAGAAAGGCTCTGCTCATAAAATCAGGAAATAAACATAATTCTTGTGTATAACTATTTGATAAAGACACAAACAAAAGTTATTTCCTTCTTAAATTCTCAATCTCAGAATCAATTTAGAGAAAAGGTAAAAAGAATGCCAAGATATGATTTTCTGTTTTAAGTTTTTATCTTATCCATGTAATAAGTACTTTCTAAATTCAAAGTGCTTTCCTTAAAATAAAATTCCACTTAAATAAAGAAAAGGAAGACCATATAAATAATCATCAAAAATAAGGTGTACACAATGTTCATTGCAGCTCTATTTACAATAGCCAGGACATGGAAGCAACCTAAGTGTCTATCAACAGATGAATGGGTAAAGAAGATGTGGCACATATATACAATGGAACATTACTCAGCAATAAAAAGAAACGAAATTGAGTTATTTGTAGTGAGGTGGATGGACCTAGAGTCTGTCATACAGAATGAAGTAAGTCAGAAAGAGAAAAATACCGTATGCTAACATATATATGGAATCTAAAAATTTTTTAAAATGTTCATGAAGAACCTAGGAGCAGGACGGGAATAAAGACTCAGACCTACTAGAGAATGGACTTGAGGACACGGGGAGGGGGAAGGGTAAGCTGTGACAAAGTGAGAGAGTGGCATGGACATATATACACTACCAAATGTAAAACCGATAGCTAATGGGAAGCAGCCGCATAGCACAGGGAGATCAGCTCTGTGCTTTGTGACCACCTAAAGGCGTGGGGTAGGGAGGGTGGGAGGGAGACGCAAGAGGGAAGAGATATGGGGATATATGTATATGTGTAGCTGATTCACTTTGTTATAAAGCAGAAACTAACACACCATTGTAAAGCAATTATACTCCAATAAAGATGTTAAAAAAAAAAGGTGTAATTTGATACACCATTGTTCAAACTGAGTGATCATGTCTGTCTTTGGTGGTCTCAAGAAAGAAAAACACTATATATTTTTTTTTTTTTGGTAATTCTCTCATATGAAATCCATAGTAAAGGAAATATAAAGGATGAGCACAATTTGTCCAAACTTTCTGGTTTGTAAAAGGGAATTGTTCCTATCTCTAAATCCTATAATTCATGCAGAGTCTTAGATAAAAATGACCTCCGTTCTTTGTGTTTTTACATTTCAGTAAATACAGAAGCTTATATATCAAGTTTGATATTATTTTAATTTCTGATTATGGCTTAAATAGTGAGTCAATACCTCAATAAAAATTATATAAAACAGTTTAATAGAGTTGGCAAATAGGGAAGATTTAAGGTTAAGCAACTTAATAATTTTCCTGTTCAGCTCTCTGAGGATATGACATCCTTTGGGATTATGTTGCTAATTGATACTCCAAATTAATCTAAGAAAATTAATCTGAATAACTCATAAACTTAATTGTTTTCAACATTATAATTAACATACCTTCAGTTTAGTAACTTCACATTTAATTGAAGGTGATTCTTTGAAGCCTTGACCAAAAACTCTCACCATCATACAGTTGTATTTTTGAATATTACACAATCCAGCATTCTCAAGTTCTATAATTTCAGGAACCTTGTCTTTGGAAAAAATAGGACATATTTGCTTTAATTCCAGAAAAAAACTAATTATTTTTCAAGGCCAAAATTAAAAGCATATATAAACTAATATTTTAAAGTCTACCCCCAATAATATTTAGTACATTAATTAAACTATTACATGTTAAGAGTGATCTGGTATTAAAAGAAGTGTTACCTACTATTCAACTCAATAGAAATAGCATTACAGATACTACCAGTGCCTAACTATACAGGTTTAATTAGTTTTTTAATAATATTTGATACCAAATAAGTATGAGTACTAACAAATTACTTCTACCATGGCCTATGTTTTGGTTTTACGATTTTGCTTTATGTCATAGAGATAGGTTATAGAAAAAGTGCTTTTGTAATAATATAGTGTACTTAGCAATGTGATGTATTAAAATATTTTCTTTAAATTCTTAATCTGTTTTAGAAAAGAATTATCAAAATTTGTGCATGCTGTTGTCCCAGTATTGTTGATATTTTTGTGTATTATTGCTATCCTACATGCTACCATAATCTTAGGTGTACTTCTCAGTCATAGGAGAAAAAATTTCTTTTATCAGTCAGAGTTAACTGACCTTCATATGGTTATTTCTGTGGTTCTGGTCTTGGTAAGATCATTCATTATGAGCAAGATCTGGTGGTCAAAATAGATAAATGCAGTATAAAAACAATTGAGTCCTTTGTCTAAGTAGTGGCAAAATCCAAGTGAATATAACTTTAATAGCAATAGGATATAAAAATCCTGTTACATGTATTCAGAACCCTAAAATATTTACGAAAAATTTAAAAAACACGTATTATTCTTTCATATATTCAACAAATGTTTACTGAGCAACATCTATTTTTCTGGTGTTATTCCAAATATTGGAGATATAGTAATGAACAAAATAGTCCCTGCCTTCATGTAACTTACATTCTAATATGGGAGGACAAAAAAATAAACCAATGAGAAAATAAAGTGTATCACGTAAGTGTTTTTGAGGTAATGGGGAAAAAGCATATAAACTATATTAAGGGAGATAAAGGCCATGGGGTTGTGTGAGAAAAACTACTTTATTTAGAATGATGATGGAAGGATTCTATGATAATATGATATTTGAATAGAGAAGAGAAGGAAGTCAGTCATGAAGATATGTGGTAGAATGTGCCAGTGAGAGGGAGCAGTAAGTGCAAATGTTCTGATGTAGAAGCAGGCTTGGCCTTTTTTGAGGAACAGCAAAGCAACCACTAGAGAACTCTGGAAAGTAATGACCTATGGAGACAATGGTAGATGAATTCAGTGAGAGAGGAGTCTCAGACTATATGTAGAATAGTCTTCACATAAATAGAATCTTCTAGGCCATAGTAGGGCCTGCCAATTTTATGCTGAAGGAGATGAAGAGCTAACAGAAGGATTTAAGCAGGGGAGTAATACGATCTGACTTACATTTCAAAGGAATCACTTTAGCTGCCGCATGGAGAATAAACTTTGAGAGAATCTATAATAATCCAGGGAGAGAGAATAGTGGCTTGGACTAAGCTGATAGCAGGGAAAGATATGAAATTCTTTGAAGCTAGAGCTGGATTTGCTGCTAATGGATCAAATATGAGGCTTGATATAAAAAGAAAAGTCAGTGACTACAAGTTTTTAATGTGAACAATTAGAGGAATGAAGTTTGCATTTACTGAGATAGAAAAGGGCAGATTGGTGGTGGTAGGAGCAAAATCAGGAGTTACTGGTTTAATAGTTAAGAGAATCAAATTGACTTTTTGAAATGTCTTTCTCTAATATATTGGGACAAAATAATTTGTACCATTTAGATAGGTTAGAGAAAAAAATTAAGCATATTAGTAAAATTAGCAAAATATAAACAGTGCTTCAAAAATACTAAATTTGAGTTCTAGAAGAATGATTATCCTCTGCAAGTAGAGGGATCAGCTATGTGCAAAGGCCCTGAGGTCAAGAGAACTGGCATTGTAAGGAACAGCACAGAAACCAAAGTGGGTGGAGTGGAATGAGTGAGGGTGATAGTAGTAAGGGATGAGTCTCGAGAGATATTGTGTGCCTGATCACATTGTGTCTTATAGGCCATTATAAGTACTTCAGCTTTTATTCTAAGATGAGACTGTTTTGGAATATTATTAACATATTGAGTAATATAATTTGGGTTCTTTTCCATATATAATCTGAATAAAGCCTGTTAGGATACTGAAGGTAAAAAAGAACAAAGAAGGTTTCATAATTAAATAACATACACAAGATCAAAGTTGGAGTGTATTTACTTACCGTGTGAATCACTGCAATCATAGGAACTAAAGCCTGGGGAGCATGCACACCCCCATTCCATATACTGCCCATGGCCACTGCATAAATTGGGGCGTTTTAATGACAAGATAATGTCTTTAATTGACTTGATGTATTCTTCTCTGTTATATTTCCCCTCTTCCAAAATCCTCTTTTCACATTCATTTTCTAAAAGGGCCACACCTGCTTCTGCCCAGCTAAGATCATCTTTTAGGAGAACATCCTTAAAACACATCTCTATCACACTGTCTAGTCTCTTGCCAAGAAAGGCAAGACAGTGCATTCCTATGCTGGAGTTGGCAAGAGTGTGCTGACATAGTGCCGATGTGCTGTATTCGGTGTGGCCAGATGGTGTGGGCCACGTGGGGACAAACTCTTGGTGGACATCCTCAGTATGGTCCTCAGGGAAAAAGTAAGTAAACTCTTCTAGGTCACTTTGGCTGAGACTTTGAAAAGCAAACAAAGGAAGAAACTCACTGAAGTTTTGCTGTTTCCATCTGTTTTGTCGATCGCACCTTATTTCTTGGCTGTGATTACCCTGGTCCTGTGTACGTCTCCCCTTGTCCAAAGTTTTTGATGCATCTTGTTTTTCATTCCCAGGATGTTTTTGTAAATTTAAGTCCAGACTGGTTAGATTCACATGCTTTTTTTCTTGAGGAAAAAATCCAAATTATTTTTTTCTCGAGATGTATGCTTGTTTATTCCTCTGACAGGAGCTTCTGAATTAATATATTCAGAGGTGACATCTAGCTCTTATCAAGGAAGCGAATTTGACATGTTTGGGGTCTTTGCAAGCTGAAACAGTCTCTGATTGAGAAACACTTTCCAGATGATTAGAGGATGGATACAATGAAGTAGTGTCTATTGAGCAGCTACAATAGGACTGTTTTCTAGGTGATGGCAGAGAAACTGGCATTGTGTCAAACATGCTTTTTCCTGGTAAAATCCTTCCAGATGGAAAACAGAAAAGAATAGTAATTTGGACAAGAACGATTTTTTCTCAGTAACGTGTTGCAAAAAAAGCAGAGCGTTGAGTCACCCACCACTCATGTTAAGTCAAATATTAATATAATAACAAACGAAAATAAGTTACTTTCTTACCTCCATTCATTAATAAAAGCAACACAGTTATTAAAAGTTTGATCAATTTCGGGGCTTCACTGGTGGCGCAGTGGTTGAGAGTCCACCTGCCGATGCAGGGGACACGGGTTCGTGCCCCGGTCCGGGAAGATCCCACATGCCGCGGAGCGGCTGGGCCCGTGAGCCATGGCTGCTGAGCCTGCGCGGCCGGAGCCTGTGCTCCACAACGGGAGGGGCCACGACAGTGGGGGGCCTGTGTACCGCAAAAAAAAAAAAAAACAAAAAAAACCAAAAAAAACCCTAAGAAATTGACTGTAGGACTCTACTCTTAAATAAACTGAAGACTCTGTTCAGTTTTTATCAGTTTTCCATGAATGTTCTTTTCTGTTTCAGTTATCCAATCCAGGATATCTTCATAATGTATTACTCGTGTTTCCTTAGTCCTCTCCAATATTTGACAATTTCTTACTCTTTCATGGTTTTCCATGATTTTGACACTTTTGAATAGTACTATTCACGTATTTTGTAGAATGTTTCTCAGTTTGGGTTTATATGAATTTGATCATGATTAGACTGGGATTATGACTTTGAGGAAGAATACAACAAAGGAGAAGTGTCCTTCTTATTGAGTGTTATTAGTAGATAAATGGTATCACTATACATTATCACTGCTGATATTAACTGTTGATACTTTCACATTAACAGATAGTTTTGAGGATTTGAACATCTTGGCAAAGAACCCTGAACAAATCTGGCCAATTTAAACCAGAAATTTAGCCTCATTTTAGCAATAATAGCAAACCAAATCTCTTACTGAGATTTGCATTAGCTCCATACATCCCATCCAGAGGATGGCACAAACACACCAACACACAGAGTTCCATCACTAGCAGTTCATGTGTATTAAACATGTTTTCTTACCTTCTGCACAATATCCCATACATCCCTGAGTGGGTTGTAGTAAGTACACAAAAAACTTTCCACAGTTTCTTATGGACACTGGGATTTGAAAAAGACAGAAGTCTTTTGTAGTGCTGAACAAAAACTGCCATGTGTATAGCTATAATCACTCCTTCTATTCAACATTTTCCTGGAAACCCTAACCAATATAGTAAGGTGAGAATAATTTTTAATTTATAAGGATTGAAAGGAAGAAATAAACTTTTATTATTCTCTGATGATAAGATTCGCTCTGTTGAAAATGCAAAAGAATATATAGAGAATTATAGGGAATTTAGCAAGTTTGCTAGGTACAAAAATCAATGTAAAATCAACTATAATTCTATACAATAGTACCAGTTAGGAAGTAAATTTTTTTTAAAAAATAGTATTTACAATAGTGCCAATAAAAATACAAATAGGAATAAATTAAAAGGTATAAAACACCTTTAAGGTGAAAATTATGAAACTTTATGAACAATGTTAAAGAAAATCTGAATAAGTAGAGGAGCATACTGTATTAATGGATTGGAAGACTCAATATCCTAAAGTTGACAGCTCTTTCCAAATCCTTCTATCAATTGAGAACAATTTCAATCACTGATATGTGGTATTTTATTTTTTATTTATTTTTTAAATGGAAGTACAGTTGATTCACAATGTTGTGTTAGTTTCAGGCATACAGCAAAGTGATTCAGATGTATAGATGTATACATCTATAAATATATTTATTCTTTTCCAGATTCTGTTCCCTTATAGGTTATTACAAAATATTGAGTATAGATCCCTGTGCTGTACAGTAGGTCCTTGTTAGTTATCTATTTTATATATAGTACTGTGTATATGTCAATCCCAAACTCCTAATTTATCTCCCTCCTTTCCTCTTTGGTAACCATAAGTTTGTTTTCTATGTCTGTGGGTCTATTTCTGTTTTGTAAATAAGTTCTTTTGTAACATTAAAAAAAATATTTTGTAGATGTGTCTTACCCCTTTCGCCCCCGGAGTGAGATTTTTGACAGTGTTTTCAACCCATTTTGTCAAATTATAAGCATATTTGTCTTAAGACATGGCATAAACTTTGTTTAATGTAAAACTTGTTTCTGAACATGTTTTGAAAGGAGTTTTTTTTTAGTTTTTTTTTTTTTTTTTTTTTTGCGGTACGCAGCCCTCTTACTGTTGTGGCCTCTCCCGTTGCGGAGTATAGGCTCCGGCTGCGCAGGCTCAGTGGCCATGGCTCACGGGCCCAGCCGCTCCGCGGCATGTGGGATCTTCCCGGACCGGGGCATGAACCTGTGTCCCCTGTGTCGGCAGAAGGACTCTCAACTACTGTGCCACCAGGGAAGCCCTGAAGGGAGTTTTTAAAAATCAAAAACATGTTTATACCTGAAAATAAAGTGCTATAAACAACAACAAAACAAACTGCCATGTGGCACAAGCTGTCAATTGCTTGATCTCCCCAGGTGGAGGTAGTGTTTCTGAATCGTTCAGAGACAGGCAGATGGGGGCCAGTGTTGCGCAGTGGTTCATCTTTTGGATCAGAGAAAACAAAAGTTGAAAAGCCAGTTTTTTTCATACATGGTAGATAAATCAACTTTGCATTTTCTTTTACACAACCTTTAAAATATTAAAGTATCAATCATTTAAAAAAATCTAATAACTTGTACCCATAACATAAAAGAAGTAGTAACTTCATGGAAGAGTAAATTTAAGGGTACATCCCTCATAATTAATATAATCTTTTTCAATTAAAATACCTTTATTCCATTTATTACATTTATTGTGAACAAGAGAAGTTCAGTATCAGTTAACTCATGAAATAGCTGATACATCTAAGACAAGTCAATCTGAAGTCATCTTAATATACAGCACAAAGATAAGCTGATCTTGGAGATTTCTTGAAAATTTTCTGGAAATAGTATACGTAAGAAGTTAGTGCACAGTAGAGGAGGCATCAAAAATCGGGAGGAAGAAGACAGGATTGCTCAAAATTTGGTGATGGACCAACAGGCTGGCAATTTGGGAAAAAAATGAGGTTAAAGCCTCACTTGAAGCCAAATTTGGATATCTTTCCTGAGTTCTTTTTACATTACGTACCTAAAAACGAAAATAATTCCCACTTATGCATGATTTTTTTTTTTTTTTTGCGGTACGCGGGCCTCGCACTGTTGTGGCCTCTCCCATTGTGGAGCGCAGGCTCTGGATGCGCAGGCTCAGCGGCCATGGCTCACGGGCCCAGCTGCTCTGCGGCATGTGGGATCTTCCCAGATAGGGGCACGAACCCGTGTCCCCTGCATCGGCAGGCGGACTGTCAACCACTGCGCCACCAGGGAAGCCCTTCTGCATAATTTTTAAAATGTGGGTATTGATAAGGAAAATGAGCCTTCTATTAAGACATAATCCTTCTATTAAGCAGACAAGAACTGAAGCACTTAAAATATGCAGTATTTTACTGTTTGAAAGTTACTGAGGTTAAGTACCTGAGCCCTGGAGAGTGACAGCCTGTGATCAAAACTTGGTTGTCTGACCTGTTATCCAGGTGACTCTAGGTATGTTACGCCTAAAAATATGTTTTCTGTATTATATGGTGGAAATCACGATGATAGGCTGCCTTCTATAAGATATTGTAAGTTAAAACACTTTGGTGGACTGTTGAACATTACATTAACTATTACTATTGTCAGAACAGAGAACCTTGGAATACTCCCTTTGATTAACTTAATCTTGATGCAAAATTAAAATAATATTGCAGCGTGATAAATAAATTGGTTGTAACAAGATTCAATCCTTATATGAAAAAATACTTAAGAAAAAGCACGTGTAGTTCACATTAGTGAGTTGATACCTCAACACATTTGGTTGGCATCTTAGCAGGTCTGTCAAAGAGGAGAAATCGATACCATCAGGGAGAAAGGGAGTGGTCACATATCAGGTCTTGAATGGCTAACTGCTGGAGGCCCAGGGAGTCAAAATTGACACTTCTATAAGGGCTCTGAAGAAACTGGTATCCCCCAGGAGAGCACCCCTGAGCTAGAATGGAAGGACAGATGATGTTATGTATTTTCTTCATTGACATAGTTCAGCCCTCGATTAAAACTGACTACTGAAACAAAAACAGAAAATAAACCTACAAGTGCATGTAAAGGCCATCTGAAATGTTATAATCTCTTAGTAGAACAAAGATGACAATATGCACTTTCCATAAATACAATAAGCCAATCAACAAACTCTTTAGAATGTATTTTTGAGTTATTTGAGCTTCAAGGACTTTATTTTCATTTAATTTGGACAGGCAAAATTGCTGATTGCTGTTGAGTCAGGATTTGTTTATTCCTACCATCAGAAGGTATAGGCCTTACAAGGACTCCTCTTGAGAGTGATCCTCCAGATTTGAATGCAATTACTGACCCTCCATGACCTGCTTTCTGCCACAGTAGCCATGTGCCCCCCCAAATCCCATCTCTGCCAGGTCCTAGAATGCAACAAACCAAACTTTTAATGCTAATATAATTTTTGTAAAATGCCCTCCTAGTGAAGTTTCCTGCATTTTTTTACTGCAGGAAAAAATATAAAGTTTTCACATTTTTTCTTATTTTTACATATAAAAGTAGTGAAGTTCATTTTCATTTCTAAGCATAGGAAAATGAATGGGGTAGAAGGGAACAGTTTTGAAGGAAAAACAAGAAAAAAAACATGGAGAAAGAGCTAGTTCTGTATATTTTTAGGAAAGCCATTTTCTGAGCAGTAGCTGGCCTGGAAGATACCTTTTTCTGTCAAATCCACAGAGGGAGAACATAAAGCACCTCTTCCCAGCAAGAAGAGAGAAGAGAAAAGGAGGCAATAAAAATAGTTATCCTGGAAATACAGCTCTTGTTTGAGGCTGCTGTCTCCCTAATAATAAGAAACACATGGAACTGTCCTTATTTGGAGTATCTTATTGACACAATAGGCAGAAAATCTCCCAATATTAGATATTGTATTTGTTCAAGGAAAACACTATAGTAAAGATAATATCTTTGAAATAGAAATCGGAAGAAAAATTTAATCATTACTAAAGTAATGGAAAAAAATCTAACTGAACAGAACTCTCAAATGTTTATTACATAATTTTAAGCTACAGTTTATGAACAAAAATCAGTTTCCAAACAAATTAATAAAGAGCACAATAAACTAGAGATAATTTGCACGTCAGTCTCACAAATGTAGCTTATAAAATTGTCTTTATTATATAGGTTTTTGCTTTTTATTTTGTTTGTAGTTACAGCAATTAAACTGTAAAAAAGGTATTGTTTTGCAAGATAAAAGATCTCCCTAAAGAATTTTTTTTCGTAAAAGATTTTAGGAATGACCACAAAAGGTTCTTCTTCCTTTTGTCTCTAGTTTCACCAGTTATAAATGTCCCAAAAGGCTCTAGTGACTTTGACGATCTCAATTTGTCAACACTAGATAAATATTTTATAAAATGAATGTGGGTAGAAGTCAGAGGATGTGCTATCATTTCATTTAATTTTGAAATAATTCTAACCCCCTGTCAATATCAGAAGATTGCACGTGGTTAGAAACTAAGGAAAATATTTTAAAAGAGATTACTAGTGAGGTTTGTATAAATTATTGAGATATTTTCTCTGATCTTATCCTACAACAGAATTTTGTCTTGGGAAAAAAGTCAATAACTCCATCTTTATTCTGTGCAGTATTTCTCCTTGCTAAGCACTTCTGAAGTTCTCACATTTCCTCTGATTTTGCTGCTTTGAATAACTGTTTTCTAATCCAAAGCTAAAGATGTCATAAATGTAGAAGCAATCACAGTGTGACATCAACAATACTAAGAACTGTATAATATTTAAACAGAAATTTTAAATTTTTATTTAATATTAATTTTAGAGGAAAAGTCTTAATTTTTATAATTAATAATAGCTCATATTTTGTATCATTTATTTCACAATTTTTCCCTCCAAATCGACTTGTCACTCATTAAATGTTCAAGGTCTCTGAAGAAAAATTTAAATCTTACTAGCAATGAATAAGTCACACTCTTAAAAATCTCATTACAACCTTAACTCTAGAAGGGAGGATATAGTTAACTATGGCTGGTTTGGGCTCCCATTTGGGAATCTGGGGGCCTACCTCCTGAAGTACTAAAAGAATAACTCTACAAGCCCATTTCACACATCAGTCAATTTCATGACATGAATGATGTGCAAAGCTTTCTAGCAAATGTCCAATAAAAGTTTTTTCCCTCAAAACAAAAGTACATATAAAATATACATTAAAATTTACATTTCTGTTTATTCTGTCTTCTTTTCAATAGGATTTAAAGAAGCTAGGTAGTATATAATAGAATCTGCAATATTTGCATTTCAGATACTTTGGGAAAACGTGTCAAGTTATAAATAATAGATACATAATGATACAATATGCAAATAGTTTTCTAGTTTTGTTTGTAGGTATAAGTAACCTGTATTAGATTAATACATTGGTTAATACAATGGCTAAGACTAGTATGCTTTAAGATTCATAATTGGGTGACAGACAAATATGTTAAGAAACTAAATAAATTATTGTATTTTTAAGAGATGAATATGCTTAATGCCTAAAGACAGGTACTTCATAATATCTGAGTTTACAATTATAAAACCTTTGGTATATTGCTCTATGGGAATTTCAAATATCTGTGAATTTTAAAAAATTGTATAACTTCCCCAAAGATGTGGAAAAGAGAAAACCCACCTTTTAGCTCCAAATTCAGTGAGAAATAAAAAGTTAATCATTAAGCTTCTAATGTTCAAAATTGTATTATGGATTCTGCAACAACACAAAAGGCTGAAAAGCAAGGTCAAATAGAGAGTGATGGACTTGCTAAGTCTCTTTACTTTGTCATCCTTTATATATTAAAGGATGAATGTGCTTGAAAAGAATACAAATAGACTGAAAGTAAAAGGATGGACAATAACATTATGCAAACAGTAACCACAAGAAAACTGGACTGGCTGTATTAATATCAGACAAAAATATCTTAAAACAAAAAAAAATGTTACTAGAGACAAAGAGAGACGTTTTATAACAATAAAAGTTTCAATCCATGAGGAAGATATACACCTAATAACACAGCACAAAAATACATGAAGCAAAATCTGAGAGAAACAAAGGGGAAAAAAAATACATACTTCAGGAGTAATAGTTGGGGACTTCAATACTCCACTTTCAACATGAATAGAAAAATGGGCAGAAAATCATCAAGGAAACAGAGCCAGAACAACACACTATAAACCAACTTGACTTAACGGACATCTATAGAACACTCTACCCAACAACAGCAGAATATAAATTCTTCTGGAGTGCACATGGAACATTTTCCAGCTGGACAATACATTAGACCATAAGACAAACCTCAATAAATTTGAAAAGATAAAAATTATACAAAGTATGTTCTCTGACTGCAATAGAATGAATATATAAATCAATAGCAGAAAGAAATTTAAGAAACTTACAAATACGTGGAAATTAAACAACCGATAAAAGCAAGAGGTCAAAGAAATGAAAATAGAAATGAGAAAATACATTGAAAAGGATTACAAGAAAGATACAACACACCAAAATTTATGGGATGCTGCTAAAGTAGTGTTTAGAGGAAAATTATAGATATATATGCCTATATTAAAAAAGAAAAAGATCCCAATATAATGAACTAATCTTTCGCCTGAAGGCTGGAAAAAAAGAACATACTAAATCTAAAGGAAGAAGGTAAGAAATTTTAAAGACTAAAGAAGACATTAATGAAATTGAGAATAGAAAAACAGTAGAGAAAAATCAATGAAACCAAAAGCTGGTTCTTTGAAAAAAATCAACAAAGGTGACATACTTCTAGGTTTGCTGAGAAAAAAAGAGAGAAGACTCATTTACTAGAATCAAAATGAAACAGGGCACACCACTACAGATCTTATTAAGGAATACTATTACAGTTGCATGCCAGTACATTAGATAACTTATATAAAATTGAGAAATTCCTAAAAAGACACAAAGTACAAAACTGATTCAAGAAAAAGTAAGCAATCCAAATAGATTTATATCATGTGAAAAGACTGAATCAGTTTAAAAAAAGAAAAAAAGAAACATCCAAAAAGAAAAGACCAGGTCTAGATGGCATCAATGTTCAATTCTACCTAACATTTAAAGAATAATACCAATTCTTCACAAACATTTCCAAAAAATAGAAAAAGATGGAATACTTCCAGACTCATTCTATGAGCCAGATACCATTCTATTTACCCTGATACCAAAGCCAGAAAATGATATCGCAGGGGAAAAAAAGCCTATGAACCAATGTATCTTTTGAATATAGATACAAAAGTCCTCAGCAAAATACTAGCAAATCAAATCCAGAAATACAGACAAAGAATTATAAACCATGACCAAGTAGGATTTATCCTAGGCGTGCAAGGTTGATTCAACATCCAAAAATGAATTAAGGTAATATACCATATTAACAGAATAAAAAACAAAATCCATATGTGCTTCTCAATAGACACAGAAAAATCACTTGAAAAAAATCTAACACATTATGATAAAAAACTAGGAACAGAAGAAGGGCACTTGCTCAACCCAATAAAGGAAATCTACAAAAAACCACGTAGCCACAACATACCTGATGGAGAAAGACTAGATGCTTTCTCATAAGATCAGGAAAAAGACAAGGATATCCACTCTCACCACTTCTATTCAACACTGTACTTGAGGTTGTAACCAGGACAACTAGGCAAGATAAATAAATAAAGATATCCAGATTGGAAAGAAAGAAGTAAAACTATCTTTATTCACAGATGACCTAACTTTTTATGTAAAACTCCTAAGAAGTCCACTAAAAAACACAACAAAATATTAACACTAGTGAACAAGTTCAGCAAGGCTTTAGGATGTAAAATCAAGATGCAAAATGTGATTTTATTCTTTTTTTAAAATTCACATACCATAAAATTTACCATTTCTAAATGTAGAATTCAGTATGGGGTGTTTTTTTTTTCTTTTTGCATATTCACAAAGTTGTATACCACAATCAAGTTTAGAATATTTTCATCACCCCAAAAAGACACCTGTATCAT